ATCAAAGCCAGTTGACTAAATGTAAAGACATGTGAAGACGTGAAACTAATTGGGTTGCGTTTAGATCTGAGATTTAGAAAGAAGATGAAAAGGAAAAGGATTTCAAAAAAACAAAAAAATCACATTTTGTTTCATTCACAAATTACTTTTCAATTCTCATTTTTTCCTAAATCCCTAATATTGTGTTTGGTTGAGGGATTTGAGAAGAAATTTAAAAAGGGAAATGGAAAAAGTAGTGAAATGTGAATAAAACATACCTATATTTTACTTAGTTTCATATTACTTTTCCCTTTCTTTTTTCAAATCTCTCTTAAAATCTCTCAACCAAATACAATATAAACAAATCTAAGATCAAAACAACCTTATAGCGAAGACATTTGACTTTCTTGATGAAGTCCCATCCACTTGCTCGAAATAATTTATTCAAACCTGTTGGAGAAAAATGGTTGAATAAGAAATTGCCTCATAAATGTGTATATAACTCACACATTTAAGGCTCATTAGTTTTACAAAATTGATTGGGCAGTTTTGCTAGCATTAGTTGCCAGCCTTGATGGCTAGAGGCTCCTCCCCTCTCCCCCATGGTGTATAAAAGGAGGCCCTATTCCTTGAAAAGATATATAGAATTTTTCCTTGACATCCATACACTGTCAGTCTACTTCTCCTATAATTTTCTTCCTGAGAGAGAGTGCTGCCATAGTCCGTTCGCTAAGCTAATCAGAAGGTGCTTCTGTTGTAGCTGGTAAAAAGGATTACATCCATTCGCATAGACGCCGGCGTACCTCCAGCACCCAACGGTGAGGCGGCAAATCTATTTTAAGGAGACTGTGGTATCACACAGGTTTCGGTTTGCTTCCTTTAACTATTTTATATTTTATCTGTATTTTATTCAGCATGTTATTTTTCTTGGTATTGAAGGTTTGTTTTGTTCATCTCATAATTTTGTGATATGCAATGTGAAATTATGTAATGTGAATAGTTTTTCCCAACAAGCTTAAAATAGATTCGACGTTTATCATAGAATTAGATTAATATATTCATAGGTGTGTGTAATAATTTTGCATGTAATAGGCCACTGTTATCAATAGGGAAGAAGAGTTCCATTGGTGCAACGTTAATTCACTGTATTTTCTAATTAATTTATTAATTTATGGTGTACCGGTTCATGCCTTGTATTTCTAGATTTACATGCTTCTAGTTTACAATATAAATTACATGTTTATTCGGGTTTAATTTTTAGTGTAATTTACATTTCTAGCATGTTTATTAGGTAGTAAATTTTCATGTAACTTGTACCTATTAATCTTTAATTTAGGTGTGGAGTTGTAAAGTTTATAACTTGCCTATATTTAAATTCATGTTAATTTCTGTAGAATTATTTGCATGTTAATCATGTCATTTGCAATTCTTGCCTGGTAATGTGATTTAAGTATTTAGGAGTTATAAAATGTTTGTAACTTGCCTCAATTAATTACATGTTTAGTGTACCAAAAGTTCATATGTAACCTTTACCAATTTAAAATATAGTTTAATTATATTTAATTTAGGTCTGTAACTTATATAGTTAATTACATGTTTATTATGTAATTAATTTTTTACAGTTTTGTTTAATTTAAATTCTAAATATGTAACTTAAGGGTTGGTTTTAATCTTTACTTACAGTTATTTATTAGTTTGTTTGCTAGTACCCTCCCCTTCAATCACTACTTTGCCAAAAGCAAAGAAAAGTTGAGGGAGGTTTTGTTGTATTTTGCTGCTAACTCTTTATTGCAGGAATACCTATGGAAATGGGAAAAAAGATTAATTTGGACTAAATATTTGAAGCAATTGTTTGCTTGAGTGTTCATTTGTGATTATTCACCAATATGTAAAGCACGTTTTATTTGCTTGTAATTATTGTAGCAATTTTGTTGTAATTGCTTGTACAGTTTGGAACTTGGTGTGTTTAACCTAGTTCATCCCTTGGAAAATTTAATTCTTAAAGTTGTTTCCCATGGACTAGGAGTCAACATGCTCTTGAAAGTTTTGTCTAAGGTTAACTGGGTTTTAAGTGGGACCGGTGTGACCCCTCCAGTCTTCCTAGAAACTTTCCTGATCATGTTCGATTCTAGGTTGCGTGGTGAGACTAGTTTTGAATTAAATTTCCAAATTGTGGGATTTTCTAGTGTTAAGTTTGATTTCTGGAAATACAGAATAGTGAAAATTCTGCTGTAATTTTTTAACACGAGGACTTCCCAGGGGGTCACCCATCCTAGTACTACTCTCGCCCAAGCACGCTTAACTACGGAGTTCTGATGGGATCCGGTGCATTAGTGCTGGTATGATCGCAATTGTCTCTGATGCTGCTACTGCTGCTGCTAATGTTGGTGGAGATCCGAACCCCGGGACGACTGGTTTGCCAACCCCTACTGTGACCTCTATGGTCAATCCTTTTGTTGTTACTCTGGCTGTTCCGGGATGACCGCTCAATCATCACGAGTGCCCGGAGAAGTTCACGGGAGTCAATTTCAAGAGGTGGCAGCAGAAGATGCTGTTTTATTTGATTACTCTAAGCCTTGCGAGGTTTTTGAGTGAAGATGTACCAGCCGAGAGGAGAATGAGCAAGATAAACAAAAGCTCATGGCTCTGGACGCTTAGAAACAAGCAAACTTCTTATGCCAGAATTACATTCTGAACGGCTTGGCGGATTCGCTTTTTAACGTGTTCTATGCCAAGGAATCGGTTAAGGAGTTGTGGGATGCCTTGGACAAAAAGTACAAGACCGAGGATGCTGGGGTAAAGAAATTTATCGTCGGTTTGTTCCTGGACTTCAAGATGGTGGACTCTAAAACTATCCTGAGTCAAGTTCAAGAGTTCCAAGTGATTCTGTACGAGATACATGCAGAAGGGATGGTCCTAAGTGAGTCATTCCAGGCAGCTACTTTGATTGAGAAGCTGCCTAACGGCTGGAAAGACTTCAAGAACTACTTGAAGCACAAACGAAAGGAGATGACAGTCGAAGCGCTCATTGTCAGGCTCCGGATTGAAGAGGACAACAGGAAGAAAGGAGGGCGTACCTCTACTGTCAAAGCTAACATGGTTGAGCATGGCGAGTCCTCGGGGGCAAGGAAAAAACCACCGACAGGCAAAAGCTCAAAGTTGGGGGCTAGAGGAGGAATTTCCAAAAGGCCAGCCTACAAGCCAAAGGAGCCTACTTTTAGGTTCGATGGCAAATGCTTTAACTGTGGAAGTGACGGGCATCGGGCAGTTAATTGTCTGAAGAAGAAGCCCTACAAGAAAAACCCTCCCCAACACAAAAACCGGGCACATATGGCTGAAATGGAGGAATTGTCACACGATGTGGACGACATGTATCTATCAGCCGTCGTGTCAGAAGTGAACATGGTGGGGTCAAACCCGAGGGAGTGGTAGGTGGACACTGGGGCCACTCGCTATATTTGTGCAGAGAAGAGAATGTTCACAACTTTCGAACCGGTTTCAAACGGGGAGAAGTTGTTTATGGGAAACTCTGCAACCTCAGCTGTTGAGGGTAAAGGCAAGGTGATCCTGAAGATGACTTCAGGAAAAGAACTGACTTTGAACGATGTCCTTTTTGTGCTGGACATTCGTAAGAACCTTGTCTCGGGGTCTCTCCTAAGCAAGCATGGCTTCTGCATGGTGTTTGAATCAGACAAGGTCGTGTTGACCAAGGGCGGGGTCTATGTGGGGAAGGGATATATGTCAGGTGGTATGTTTAAATTGAATGTAATGCCACTTATCCCTAAGATTAATGAGAAAGCTTATTCTTCTGCTTATATGCTTGAGTCCCCTAATTTATGGCATGGTAGATTGGATCATGTAAATTTTGACTCTTTACGTAGATTAATCAAGTTAGATCACATACCATCTTTCAAGATTAATCCACAACACAAGTGTGAAACTTGTGTAGAAGCAAAATTGACAAGGTCTTCTTTTCATTCTATTGAAAGAAGTACCCAGCCTTTGGGTTTAGTGCATAGTGATGTACGGGGCCCATTTATCATTGGGAATGCCAAAATTAGATTCTATGTTTTGTTTATTGATGATTGCACTAGATTTACTTGGGTATATTGTTTACTCTATAAAACTGAGGTTCATACTAAGTTTCTTGATTTCAAAAGTTATGCTAAAAATTAATTTGACACTTCACTTAAAATTTTGAGAACAGACAATGGTTTTGAGTTTGTGAATAAAAAGAATGGACTCTTATTTGTCCTCTTAGGGCATCATTCATCAAACAAGTTGTCCATATACACAAGCACAAAATGGTATTGTTGAGAGAAAGCACAGGCATATCACTGAAACTGCTATTAATATTATGCAACATTCTTTTCAACATTTATCTTTTTGGTTTGATGCTATTGATATAGTTGTGTTTCTTATTAATCATATGCCCAATTTTGTTGTTGATAATGTGTCACCATTTGAAGCTTTGTTTCATACAATGACTGATTATTCTTCTTTTAAGGTGTTTGGTTGTTAATGTTTCCCATGGATTAAACCATATGTTTCTCACAAATTGCAACCCAAATCCATTCCATATATCTTTATTGGCTATTATCCTACCATAAAAGGAAATGGCTGTCTTGATCCTATTTCTGGCAAAATCAATACCTCCAGACATATTCTTTTTAATAAAACTTGTTTTCCATTTTCTCTCTCATTCTCAATTTTTTCTATTTCACATCCATCTCCTTATTCTGTTCATTATTTCTTTTGATCTTTACCATCCTCTTCATCCTCTCTCATTTTTTCTCCCACTCCTTCTCTTCATCTCTCTTACTCTTCTAAGTCACCATCTTCAGTCTCTCCTTCCTCAGCTTCTCAAAATCCTCCATACTGTTCTCCTCCTATTTCTACTTTTATTCATATTGATTCTATCATTATTAATCTCCATCATATTTCCTCTTACCCATCTACAGCTCCTATCTTATCTATGTCTCTTAATACTCATTCTATGATTACTCGGTCAAAGGCCAAACTTCTGAAGGTGTGGATTAGTTTTGCAAAGTTTGAGGCATCTGCAATGGAAGATGATGAAAGAGGCTCAGACTTGCCGGAAGATGATGTCCAGGAATGTCTTCTCGATCAGAAGAAGCTATGCCTTCAGCGAGCAAGAAGTAAGCAAAAAAAAGTCTTTAATGTTGCTGCCATTGTTATTTTATTTTTGATTTTTTTGTTTTATATGGAAGACTAAAGCTAGTCTCATTTCATGTATTCAGGGGTGTTCGAGAGAGCAGTTAACTACTTTAGAACTTCTGCTCCCGAATTGAAAGAAGAAAGAGCAATGCTCTTGGATGAATGGTTGAACATGGAGAGTAGTTTTGATGAGTTAGGTGATGTTAGTTTAGTCCGCGTTAAGTTGCCAAAGAAACTCAAGAGGAGGCGGCAAATAGAAACCGAGGATGGCCCAGCCGGGTATGTTCATCAACTTATGATATTATTCTCTATTTCTTGGGTGGTTGTTTTGTTGTCTTAGCTTGTAACAGATTGGAAATTTCCCATCTTGACTTCTCATTTCTATCTTCATTTAAGACTGTCAAGTTGACCGTTTCCAATATGTTACCCGCATTTTTAACTGTTCATTTTACGCGCTCTTAAATATCTAATGCGTGATGCTTTCTTTCCTTTTCCCTGTTAAAAGATTCCAAATCCACTAGTGGTTATGTGTTTACCCTCGGAGGGGCAGCCGTGTCTTGGAAATCTTCCAAGGAAATGTGTATCTCGAGATCAACGATGGAATCTGAGTTTATTGCTTTAGATAAAGCAACTGAAGAAGCTGAATGGCTTCGCCAGTTTGTTGAGGATATTCCACGTTGGCCGAAACTTGTGCCAGCTATCAGTATTCATTGGGATAGCCAATCAGCGATTGGTCGGGCACAGAGTAATATGTATAATGGAAAGTCTAGACATATCCGTCGTAGACATAATTCCATACGACAACTACTCTCAAATGGAGTTGTCTCTCTAGACTATGTCAAGTCTAAGGACAACATTACGGATCCGCTAACCAAAGGGTTAATTCGAGAGTTAGTAGAAAAGTCGTCAAGAGGAATGGGGTTAAGGCCTTTAGTAAAGGTTACCAGAACGAAAAACTTAACCTAGTTAACTGGAGATCCCAAGATCTAGGTTCAAAAGGACAACCTAACTTCGTGTAACGGGTGAGTCACTGAAGAGGTAAATCCTCTTGCCCATTCCTTTATACAGTAATGCCCTGTGGGGGTGGAAGGTTAAGCTAATGCTTTTAATGACCTTAGTGATGTGGTATAATGAAATACCGTATCTAGGTCACCTATGTGAGTGCGAAGTGAGGCCGCTTCTTTAAGAATTGCCAAGGCCGAATTCTTTAAAAACACTCACAGAACCAGGCTAGTATTCCAGGGCCATACCGGACACACCAGTGAGAACAAGAACAATGGTTGGACTAACTCCTGTGTGAGGTCTATTGTCTCGGTTTACATAAACAGCAGAACAGTTCAAGACATCACGTTCACTGGTCAGCCAGTAAATCCGATAGGCTTTCACTACGAAAGGTTCAAGGCCAACAACTACCTTTTCTGATGCAGGGTTAGTCTATGTGCTCTCTCTCTTTCCGAGTCTTTGTTGATAAACGTTGAGCGTTTGCTGTATTCGGTCAATTTTTATTCATGTGGGGGATTGTTGGAGAAAAATGGTTGAATAAGAAATTGCCTCATAAATGTTTATATAACTCACACATTTAAGGCTCATCAATTTTACAAAATTGATTAGGCAGTTTTGCTAGCATTAGTTGCTAGCCTTGATGGCTAGAGGCTCCTCCCCTCTCCCCTATGGTGTATAAAAAGAGGCCCTATTCCTTGAAAAGATATATAGAATTTTTCCTTGACATCCATACAATGTCAGTCTACTTCTCCTATAATTTTCTTCCTGAGAGAGAGTGCTGCCGTTGTCCATTCACTAAGCTAATCAGAAGGTGCTTCTGTTGTAGCTGGTAAAAACCGTTGTATCCTGGGAAGTAGACGCCGGCGTACCTCCAGCACCCAACGGTGAGGTGACGAATCTATTTTAAGGAGACTGTGGTATCACACAGGTTTCTGTTTGCTTCCTTTAACCATTTTATATTTTATCTATATTTTATTCAGCATGTTATTTTCCTGGGATTGAAGGTTTGTTTTGTTCATCTCATAATTTTGCGATATGCAATGTGAAATTATGTAATGTGAGTAGTTTTTCCCAACAAAACCAACAAAAATCAGGCTTTGACAATCAAATTAATTTTGAATAAATCTGAGGCTGGTAGTGACACTGAAATTTTCAATGTGAAGCTGTTAGGAAGTGGGAATATATTATATGGCTTCTCTTCTATTTCATTTTCTTATGATTAACTAGTTTGTTTGTTTTTTCCTTAAGAAATTGGCATCAAAAGCCAGTTGACTAAATGTGAGGACATATAAAAATATATAAATAGAGGCTCTTCAATTTGTCTTCATTTGTCACACAAACGTCATGGGGAAGCTGGTGTGTGCAATTGTGGTCCTTTTTTCAATGGTCATGGCCACGATGGCAGTTCATGGCATAGCCGAAGATCCAAAAGCGGTTGAAAAGTGGTTCCAGAAGCTAACCCATTTAAAACAAAAACTAACAAAGTTTGATTTCTACTACCCATTTAATAAGGGTTCTGTTTAAGTGTAAAACCACCTTAAGGTTGCACACCATATGTAACCCAATTGTTAGCCGTTAGATTACAATAATTGATCAAGACCATTGAATTGTTTGATTGTGAAAAAGTTAAAACCGGGGCAACCGATTAATGCTTGTAGTTGCATGATTGCATCCCACTCACTCTCTGTATTTCGTCCCTATCTCTCTCTGTTCTCCTCTCTGTGTAAGGTTGGGTCAGTGTAACTGTTGATTTCCATTAACAGCGAGAAGCCCCTGCCGGGTTCGTTCCATTGACGAATCTCTGTAGGGAACAGTATAACGGGCGATTTCCAACAACAACGTAACTACAAGCCTGTGTTGGTTCCATTGCTGAAGTGAAGCCCTTCTCTCCAACTAGATATGAGGTATGGAGCTGTCTCTCTCTTTCTGTCTCCCTCTCTGTCTCTCTGGCCTCTTCACTTCAGCTACTTTCCATCAACTAAACCCCCATCCTAACTTCAACCGCTCTACGCTTCGCTCAAACGGAAACCCCTCCATTGGCAACTAACCTTTCTCTTTCTCAAGCGAGTGTTTATGTTTTCACAAACAACTAAACCATATGAAAATGTCATGTTTGTGTTTGTGTTAACATTTTTCGGTTATCAAGTAATTGTTTGTAGTAATGTCATGTGTAGTATGGCCCGAACGGAAGTTCAAAGGGAAGGTGATGATTATGACATTCCAAATGAAGCAGATGACATTCGTTTGATGAATGGAAGTCGGGTGGAACCTTATCATGGTTGCGAAGCTGGTCCGAGCAATGAAGAAGCAACCAACATGAACTTTGAAGATGGCGGGGCCGATGTGAAAAAAGAAATGGTTGATGATGCTCATGGCAATGACATGGTTGGTGATGTTGAACGTGCTATTCTGGAACAGAAATTTGATTCGGTCGAAGATGGAGAAGCTTTCTATAATGCGTATGCTAAAACCAAGGAATTTAGTATACGAAAATCCAGATTTAACACAAATAAAGAGGGAAAGGTCGTTAGTAGGCTGTGGTTGTGTTCAAGGGAAGGTCAGAGATTACCAATATACTTGGACCATGTTGTTGAGAAGAGTAGAGCTCCCAAGGTACTAACAAGAGTAGGTTGCAAAGCCCAATTTCGCATACGGTACGATGCAGATGCTAGTAAAGGGGGAAAGTATGTTGTGACTCACTTCATCGCAGACCACAACCATAAATTGGCGGAACAACACTGTGTGATGTATCTGAGGTCACATCGTAGTTTAAACAGCGCTGACAAAGCTCAAGCAATAGCTATGCGCAACGTCGGTGTGAAGACTAGCCAAATCATGGACTATATGGTAAATCAATCCGGGTCTTATGAGAATGTTGGTTTCGTCCGTACGGATCTGCACAACCATATTCAAACCGAACGTAAAGCAGAAGTTGAGGATGGTGATACGCAGGGTGCGTTGGTTTACCTATGTGCAAAACTTGATGTTGATGCACGTTTTTTTTTACAAGTATAATGTGTGTAACGATAACATGTTACAAAATCTGTTCTGGACAGATTCGAAATCGCGGGCCGACTACGCAAAGTTTGGTGATGTGTTGATATTTGACTCAACTTACAGAACCAATGCATACAAGAGGCCTTTTGTCATGTTGGCTGGTGTGACTAGCCACTTTAGGACCACGATATTTGCATGTGTTTTGCTAGCTAATGAGACAATTGAGACATACACATGGGTTTTGGAAACATTTATGGAGGCAATGGGCAATAAAGCACCTATGTCCGAACTGACAGATGGGGATAAGGCGATGCGAGAGGCAATCAGAAGAGTATTTCCAGACGCAAGACATCGATTATGTAATTGGCATCTTGGGAAAAATGCTGTTTCAAATGTTCACATAAGTGGCTTTGCACATGCTTTCAAGCAGTGCATGGACATGGAAACGGATGAGACAAAGTTTGAGCATGGCTGGACGACAATGGTCGAAAAATTTGGACTTCAAACGAACAGTTGGGTGTTGGAGACATATGAGAAACGTCATATGTGGGCTGAGGCATATATGCGTGGACATTTTTTTACTGGGATGAAGAGCACTCAACGCTCGGAGTGTATGAATGCTTATTTCAATCCCTTCCTCCAACACAAATTGAAGCTATATGAATTTGTTAGGCACTATGATCGGGCTCTTGCAAGGATAAGGTATAACGAGGCTGGAGATGATGCTGAAACAAATAACACTTTTCCGGTATTGATTACTCCATTGCGAGATATAGAGAGACATGGAGCTGAGCTATTCACCCGAAATATATTTAGAATGTTCCGTGATGAAATCTTAGAAGAGGGGAAGTTGAATGTGAAGGATGTGTTCCCTTTGCCGGATGGTCAGAAATGCTACTATATTCATAAGTACAGAGTGAAGGACAGATCATGGATAGTAACACACAGTCCAACGGATGCTGCAATGAGATGTTCTTGCATGAAGTTTGAGTCGTTGGGGCTACCTTGCTGCCACATGATATGTGTTATGAAAGCTGAAAATTTAACGCAAATTCCCCCAACTTGTGTGCTGCATAGATGGACAAGGGCTGCAAGCAAGGATGGCCAGCAATGGCCTCAACCCTCAATTGATAGCACTACAACATAGACGGCCCGGTATAGGATATTGAGTTCTTCCTACAACGAAATGTGCTTCTATGCCTCGCAATCAACGGAAGGTTTCAAAGAGGCTAGGGATGCATGTCTTCCGATGACGAGCCGGATGAAGGAGTTATATGAGAGGAATCTGAACGATGGGAATGGAGACAAAGGGAAACATTCATTCCCTCGACAATTTGGAGTAGAAGATCCTGTTGTTGTGAAGACAAAAGGGAACCCGGGATGGGCCTCGTCCAACTGTCGAAGACCAAGAAAATGTGGGAATTGCAAATGCATTGGGCACACAAAGCGAACGTGTCCTAAGGTTCGGTTTAGCCGAACAGTGGGTACTAACTCAGATGCAGATACACCTCACATAACTGAGCGTGAGTACAATGCGGAGTCATTGCCCGTTCGCTGCAAAACTGGGTTGGTGGATCCAAGTACACCGCACATTAAGCAGCGATGACTATTTTTCGATGCTTCTCCTGATTCCAAGCAGCCTGCGGGCCAATACGGTAGTGTTGAAGCAGCAGTGTGCAAAAATGATTCGACCACAATTGATGAGGTGAATCAGGTAATTGTATAATTTGTATGATTTACTTATTCCCTTAATTTATTAGGCAGACAGTACTAGCTATCAAAAACACATCATTGCGAAGAACATGGTAGATATGTATGTAGTTTTCATTTTGCATAGATTACTGTACGTAACGTGTAAATAATTGATTATGTACAATGCCGGGAAATGACACAACGTTACTTATGTTCAAGGCCAGGAATAGTAATTTCCCATATTGTTTAGAGTGATGTTGTCGTTTGTGTTTGCAGTGACTTGTGATATTGAAAACTAATTAAAGGTGAGATATATATGGGTTGTCTGCATTGTTTTGGGTAGGAAATTGGCTTATGTTTGTATTCCAAGATTCCTATTGCGGGTTGCTTGTTTCTGTTCCATATTTGGTATTGCCGAGGGTGGTTTGTGAGTATTCAAATGTCTTTCCCGAAGATCAGAATCACAGAGGATTGAATTTGACATTTCAATCAACAGCCAATCCTCTCCGACAGATGACAACACAAAATCCAAGTGGTTTTGCAAAATTACATCCCAGCACATGCATTTTGTATATAATCCAAGTGGCAGTTAATTTTGGGTGTTACTTGGAGAAAGTAACTCAACGAACTCGTTACTTTATCTCCATGTCGATTGGTATATGAATTACGAGTTACGAACAGGAGTTGTGAAATTATTTAATGTTTACTATGGAAGTATGGGTTTATTGTTAGTAAAATTATGGTGGGCCTATATGGACAGCAACGAAGCAGTAATTTAAAGTTGACAAGTTAAAGAAGAAAATCAAGCAATTGTGGTATTGGTTCGAATGCCTGAAAAGGATGAAGACTTCTTTCGATGAACTAATGGTAACAAAGTAGAAAGTAACAAAGTAGAAAGTACAAAGTAAGTTGTTGTGTTGTTGTGTTGTTTGTAACAAAGTAGAAAGTAAAAGGGAAAAAACTACTCAAAAGTTGCAATGTAGAAAGTAAGTTGTGTTGTTGTTCATGTCCTCTCTCTCTGCAAACATTCTGTCCTTTATAGCTATTATTTCCCATGACCCCATGATCTGCCGATTCTGCAACTGCTTCTGTGCAATGTCTGTAACTGCATGGTCATTTCTGTGTCTTCAAACCACATAAAACCTTCACTTGTACCTGTCGAAATGCATATAATTGAAGTTGCCACCTGTGCCCAAGTCCTTTTAGCCTTTCCTCGACAGATACAGACTCCCAATTCGTTCATGTTTCCTCTTGGAGGCCGGCCACTAAATCCATGAGCACTGCCAGTAATTGCTCCAGCGTGTAAGTCAGGTGGCATACAAGATTCAATGTTAGTTAAATGGAGCAGCTGTTGGGAGGATGTGGCAAAAATAGGTGCAAAGAGGAATTTTGAATCTAATATCCAATAATAATTTAGCTGAAAATATGAGTGAAATTTTTTTTTAAAAAAAGTAGTTTCGATTTTTTTTTATTACAAACCCGAGATGTATATTTTGTTTTTGATGTAAATAAGTTGTGTATTTTCGTTACGTAAAATGTAGGACTACAATTGTGTTTAAGTCATTACAATACAGAAAAAGGTTATTTCAAACATAATTGCAAGTTTACCGGCATTGAATATATTTTGATTAAATTACAGGGGAAATTAATATTTGGCAGAGTCTGATGATTCAAAGTCAGGGCATTCACAGTGAGTGGCCAAGTGTTGTGGTTCAGTGGCCCAGTTTGCAAGGATTGTGGTTGTGTTTAGTGGACAATATTCTGTCGATTTTTGTCTCATAATGATGAGGGACATGCCCCACAATGGTGAAAATGAAGGTCGACAGGGAAGAGTCAATATTTGGCAGAGTGGACTTGAAAATTCGAAGTCAGGGGGCAGTTACAGTGGCAGTTATGGTGTAGACGTGTGGGATCATGCAATGATGAGCCACAAAAACAGAATACAGATATCGAAACGAACGATCTCCCTTCTAGGCTTTCCAAGTATATTAAACCTCCACTTGTATCTGTCGATCTCCCTTTTCTTGTGTTTATTTCATGGCCACCAACTGTTTGAAACTTCTATCGACAGAGCAAGGCTCCTGCTTTGTCTCATGCTTCCTCCTGAAAGTGTGCCCACTAACTCATAATGATGAGGGACATGCCCCACAATGGTGAAAAGGAAGGTCGACAGGGAAGAGTCAATATTTGGCAGAGTGGACTTGAAGATTCGAAGTCAGGGGGCAGTTACAGTGGCAGTTATGGTGTAGACGTGTGGGATCACGCAATGATGGGCCATAAAAACAGTATACGGATATCGAAACCAACGATCTCCCTTCTAAGCTTTCCAAGTATACTAAACCTCCACTTCTATCTGTCGATCTCCCTTTTGTTGTGTTTATTTCATGGCCAGAAGCTGTTTTAAACTTCTGTCGACAGAGCAAGGCTCTTGCTTTGTCTCATGCTTCTTCTTGAAAGTGTGCCCACTAACTCCATGACTGGTGCTAAAAACTTCCCCCATCACTTCTAGGTGACCCACATGCAGAGAGCCCACTTTGAAGTGGTGGACATTCCTTCAGACTTGGCCATGTGTCCTCGATTAAGTGGACCATCTGTCGACAGAGACTAGCAAAACTTGGTGCAAACAATGGCCCCCTTGTTCAAGTTAAATAACATATGAATTAACCTTGTAGAAGTGATTGAGATCCCTTCCAATCACCACCTGCACCACCACCCCACCACCCCACCCCCCCATACACACACACACACGTGGGGGCTGGTGATTGTAGTGAGAAGGAAAAAAAAAAAGAAGAATTTTTTTTTTTTAAAACTGGCCAATCAGAGAGATAGGGGGTCATAGGATGGCCCCCTTGTGGGGGTCCAAGTCATATGATATTTAACTTCAACAAGGGGGCCATTGTTTGGGCCCAATAGCAAATTTATTAGTACAGGCCCCATCATAAGCTATAAAAGACCCACCCTTTCAACTTCAAACCACATCATTTCCCTCTGATTCGAGCTCCCCAGACTGTACTCCTTCTTCTCAAGCATTGCCGTTCAAAACCCGAGCACCACAAAACCCTAAGCCATGGCGTCGAAAAAATCTCAACCATCACCATCTGAGGAGAACAATGAAGACCTACTCCGCTTCCCAGACCCTATCAGAGCACGTATCGGTCCTCTAAAATTTGGTGCAACCCTATTGCCCAGCACAAGCTCTGTCGCTAAGGCTACTCCAGGCCCTACCTTCGCGTCTTACTTCCCAGACGAGCTAGCTCCATACTATCCCCTTGGTAATGGTGAGAACCTTCTTCTCAACCAACCTGGACTTAAGTGGACTAACTGGAATGTCAGCAAAAACCCACTCAGATCGTGGAGGTCACCAGACTCTGTTTGGCGAAGCTGGGCCAGGAGAATTGAAGGTCACGACGGTGAAGTATGGAAGCACCAGGGCATTAGTGAAGCAATTAGACTGTCGACTAAAAATTATGACATGGACAAAGGGCTGGTTGCTGCTGCTACATGCTTTTGGTCACAATTTTGTAACTCTCTACTCCTGAATTTTGGTATGATTTCCCCTACCATCTTAGATGTAGCTCACTTGACTGGTCTCCCAATCTTGGGCAATCCAATTCATGCTTTCCTTGAGCCTCCAAAAGTGAGCTTTACTTTAAACACTAACATGTGCTATACAGATTTCGCCCAAAAATACAAAGGCAAGCCTAGTTCCCCTGTCCATGACAAAGAAAGAACTGCTTTTTACTTACTTTGGCTTTGTGAGTTTCTTTTTTGTGTCCCTGGGTACAAGATCGCGCAAGAGTACCTCCCCCTTGCCTTGTGTATGCAAGATGGCCAACTTATGGCTTTAGCCCCTTATCTTCTTGCCACCCTTTACAAGGCCCTATTTTTCTTTGTCCACAAGAAGATTTCTGGCAACTGTGGTGGCCCCTTCTGGCTCTTCCAGGCCTGGTTGTATGCCTATTTCCCTAAGGCACGACCCCCACCAACTAACACCGTGAAACCTGTTTTCTACTCCTATGCTGAGCAACTGCTTACTTATAACAGCCAACCTATCCTCACTTTCAGAAATCAGCTTACCATGTTTTACAACCTTCCTTCGAAGAGACCTTCCAACATGGACATGCCATTTCAAAACTTTGAATTCTCCTCCAGCAGACTTCGCTTCCTCTTCGTAGACCGTTCTGATTTACATAATGAGCAAGTCCAAGAACAAAATGAGACTTGGAGACACATTCTCACCTCTAGACATGTGTTGGTTGGCTGTTCCATATCCTCTGCCAAGATGTCCAACTGCAGTTTTGAGACATATTGTCCCAATCAATGGGCTAGGCAATTAGGTCTTTCCCAAGGTATCCCATATCCTTATTTCCACCCAACCATCCATGAGGAGATTGGCTCTAGAATCTTTTTCAAAGATCCTATGCAAGTTGAATCCATTT